GACAAAGATTCCATCGATGCCAAGATGTGGGCAACCCAGATAGCGCTCTATATGACGCAATGGCCCAGCATCACGGAAAGGCAGAGAATATCAGTTATGCTTTCGTTCATGAAAGGATCTGCTGCTAAATGGGCGCAGTCCTACATTGAAGAGCACGCTGATGGAACCCTCACCATGAAGAAGTTGGATGAAGACTTCACCGCCATGTGGGCACAAGAAGACCTTGAAGGCAAGGCAGTTCGAGAATTGGATTCCCTAAGACAAGGATCCTCTTCCGTCCCAGAGTACACGGCTACTTTCAAACAAAAAGCCGCACACACCAGATTCTCCGACTACGATCTACGCCAGAAATATAGGGCAGGATTGCAAGATCGCGTCAAGTTACAACTCGCTCATATATCCTACAAAGATAAGGACAACATGCAAAAACTGATAGAGCATGCGATCCAAATAGGACGAAACTTCGAGGAGTTAGACGCGGAGAAGAAGAAGACTTCTTTCTGGACCCCTAACAGGGCCGCGAGAAACTTCGAACCAAGGGCTGGTCCCAGAGACAGTAACGCTATGGACGTCGACGCCAACAAGCAGAGAGGAGCTCCCAAACCTCAAGGAAAGACTGGTTCTTTCAACTGCTACCGCTGCGGCGAAGAAGGCCATATGGCGAGAAACTGCAAGGGCGCTCCCAAAGCGCAAGTGAAGGCTACTGAAGTGCCAAAGGAAGATTCGATGCCCCAATGGTTTAAGGACTATGTCAAAGCCAAAGGAGATAAGGGTTTTTAGAGAGGTCTGAGTTAGAGTCTGCGGACTTGGACCCGAACAATCGTTTCTCTATCCTATCTACGTTCTCGGATGTAACAGAAGTATATTTGCGATCGAAATCAGAGCATTTTTACATTCCGATTACCCTGAAAGGAAAGAATCGACAAGCAGACGTGAAAGCACTTGTGGACTGCGGTGCATCAACATTATTTATCAATGAGAAGTTTGTGAAGAAGAACGATGTAATATGCCGTAAATTATTAAGGCCTATTCCGGTAAAGAACATAGATGGTTCTTTAAATGCCGCTGGATCAATGACTCATTTTGCCGAACTAAGTCTAAAGATCGGTGATCATGTAGAAGACAAAGCAGCCTTCATGATTACAGACTTAGGAAACGATGATGTTATTATCGGCATTGACTGGTTAAGATATCATAATCCAGAAATAGACTGGAATGCAGGACAGTTTTCGTTATCCCGGTGTCCGCTTAAATGTATTACGAAAAAAGAACAAAGACAAAAAAATAAAGAAAACAGAAAAGCACAAAAACAAGTAGATGTGATTCCGGATCTGATTCCCACAGAAGAGGATGACGATGAAGACATGGAGATGAAGAAGGCAACCTGTGAAGAGGTGGAAGACGAAGATAGTCCTGAAAGATGGATTAGATATAAAGCCTCGGTTGCCACGGAACAGAAGGTAGCAGAAGAAGCTACGAAAAAGAAGAAGTCTGTTGAAGAGATGGTTCCAGACTGGCTTCACGATTACCTGGGAGTGTTCTCAGAAGAAGAGTCTAAGCGATTCCCTGAAAGAAAGAAATGGGATCATGCTGTGGATCTTAAGGATGACAATGATCTTCCTCCGAACGCGAAACCTTACCCCTTGTCACCAAAGGAAATGGACACTTTGAAAGATTGGTTGAAAGCCGAGACTGCACTAGGACGTATTAGAGATTCACAATCTCCAGTTGCAGCACCTTTCTTCTTTGTGGCCAAAAAGGATGGCAAACTTAGACCTGTAATGGACTATAGAAGGCTTAATGAGAAGACGGTTAAAAATGCGTATCCGCTACCGAGATCTCAAGACCTGATTGATGCCCTTACTGGTGCCACGATGTACTCCAAGATGGATGTACGATGGGGGTATAACAATATTCGGATGAAAGAAGGAGACGAATGGAAGGCAGCTTTCAAAACGCCTTTTGGTCACCACGAACCAACCGTAATGTATTTTGGGTTGACAAACTCTCCAGCAACTTTCCAGACCATGATGAATGAGATATTCAGAGATTTAATAGACGGCAAAACAGTGGTCGTTTATATCGATGACATCTTGGTCTTTACGAATGGAAGTAGAGAGCAACACCAGAAAGTCGTGCGAGAAGTACTCAAACGATTAAAGGAGAACGACCTGTTCTTGAAGCCTGAGAAATGTAGCTTCGAGCAGTCTAAAGTCGAGTTCCTTGGGTTGATTGTGGAAAAAGGCAGTGTATCTATGGACCCCGTCAAGGTAGAAGGAGTATTGAAATGGCCTGTTCCCAAATGCGTAAAAGAAATACAAGCATTCATGGGTTTTGCCAACTTCTATCGAAGATTTATACTTGGGTTCTCAGACATCGCCAGACCAATGAATGATTTGCTGAGAAAAGATGCCAAATGGGATTGGACAGAGAGACAGCAAAACGCCTTCGATGAATTAAAGAAGCGTTTTACAGAAGCTCCCGTCCTAGTAATGCCAGATGTTGAGAAGAAAATGAAAATAGAAACCGATGCTTCCGATTATGCAACAGGAGCAGTTCTATCTCAACTGATGGAAGATGGCCTATGGCACCCAGTGGCTTATTACTCAAAGTCAATGAACGATGCAGAAAGAAATTATGACATCCATGACAAAGAGTTACTAGCAATCATTCGTGCGTTGGAAGAGTGGAGGCACTATGTGCAGGGAAAACCCCAACATGTGGAGATCTGGACGGATCACAAAAATCTCGAGTATTTTATGACGAGTCAGAAGTTGACAAGAAGGCAAGCCAGATGGAGTTTGTTCCTGGCGGAGTATGAATTTACGCTCCAACATAAGCCTGGTGTAGTCAATGACAAAGCCGACCGTCTATCTCGGAGAGAAGACCACAGAGGGGGGGTAGAAAACGATAATTCTGACCGCATTTTGTTAAAAACCGGAATTTTTCAAGATCAAAGCTGCTAAACGAGGCCAAGTTCTCATAGAAGGAGAAAGTTCGCTCATGAAAAAGATAAGGAAGAGCACAGAACGAGAGCCCGAAGTAATGAAAGCGCTAGAAACGCTAAAAGTAGCACCGGTACAATTGCGCAGAGGAATCGAAGAATGGAATGTTGAGGACGGATTGGTGTTATTCCGAGGATTGGTATATGTTCCAAACGATAAAGAGATCCGCCGAGAGATATTGGAGTTGTTTCACGACTCTCCACCGGCTGGACACCCTGGACGTGCCAAAACCTTAGAATTGATTTCCAGAAACTATTGGTGGCCTTCAATGACGAAGTATGTCCATGATTACGTAGACGGTTGCGATCGATGCAAACAAACGAAAGTGTTCCCCAGTAGACCAACGGGACCTTTACAGCCAAATGAAGTCCCAGAAGGACCTTGGCAAACGATCTCATGCGACCTGATAGTGGACTTGCCGAAGAGTGAAGGATGTGACAGTATATTCGTTGTCGTTGATCGATTTTCGAAACAATCACATTTCATTCCCACCACCAAAGATGTAGACTCGAAAGGAATTGCCGAGCTATTTCTAAAGAACGTATGGAAACATCATGGTACACCAAAGAAAGTGATTTCGGATAGAGGAACGCAGTTCATTTCGAAGTTTATGGGACAAGTATCGAAAAGATTAGGAACCAAATGGTCTGCTTCGACCTCCTATCATCCCAGAACAGACGGACAAACAGAACGTGTAAATCAAGAAGTTGAACAGTACTTGCGCATGTTTGCCTCGTACAGACAGAACGATTGGGTATCTTGGCTGCCAATAGCAGAGTTTTCACACAACAATGCAGTCACAGTAACCGGTCACAGCCCGTTCAAAGTCCTCTACGGATATAATCCCGAATTCACAGTATCTCCGAACTCTATTTCCCTTATTCCCGCCGCCGACGAGAGAGCAGATCAGATGAGAGAAGCAAGAGATGATGCGGAAAATACTCTAAAAATGGTTAATGAACGCATGAAACGCTTCTATGACCGAGGAGTTAAAGACGCACCTCAGTATCAAAAGGGAGACAAGGTCTGGCTAGACGCAAAGAACATTAAACAACGTCGTCCAAGTCAAAAGCTGTCAGATCGTCGTCTTGGGCCCTTTGAAATACTAGAGAAGACCGGCGAAGTGAACTATAAATTGAAATTGCCAGAGAGCTATAAGATTCACCCGGTTTTCCATGTGGAATTGCTTACTCCATACTATGCATCTCGAATGATTCCCCATTCTCAACCCACCCGACCACCTCCAGACATTGTTGACGATCAGGAAGAATTTGTCGTAGAAGAAATACTAGATAGCCGACAATTCCGAGGAAAAGTGCAGTACCGAGTAAAATGGGAAGGATATCCGATAGAAGAGTCGACATGGGAGCCAGAAGAAAATGTTAAAAACTCCCCGATTCTAATTGCAGACTTCCATAAGAAAAATCCCACGGCTGCTAAATCCAAACGAATTCTTGGATCTATCCTAGATACGGATGCGTTCAAACAGTGGAGAGAGAAAAACATCCGACCATCCTACATTCGCGATGACGCTCATCCTAGAGAGGGGGTAATGTCACGAATTCCAAATACAAACCATTATTCTTTCTTAAACACTCGTAAGACACCCGTTAAGCGCCCATCACAAGCGCCCGTCGTTAGCGCTCAGTCAGCGTCTGTACCTATAACCTTCACAAACCCTAACCCCAACTTCTCTATTCCGTTAGCGCCCACTACTTCTATTTCCGACGTTCCTGATTTTGACTTCCTTACTCAAGCGATTAAGTCACGTGACTCCAGAACCTTCCAGAACCCTTGCACAGCTATCACACGTTCCATGACATCATAGTGTAGTTATATTTAGAACATCGTACGATTCCCTTTTCTATTTAATGATTGGCTAGTTAGTTCAGATCCAGATTCAGTCTCCGCTTCAATATATGTATATAGGTAGCTCATTGTAGTCAGTAGTTCTCCAGTTCAAACCTCTTTTGTATTAGCTTATTGCTAGCAATCCTAAGACGTCCCTGCTATCCTCTTCTCTCTGTTAGATAACCTTAGTTTGAGTCCTAGTCTCTGCCCCAGCGTTAATTCGTTTAAAGGGTTGTGACAAATAGATCCTTGATCAATAGCATTTCTGAAAATTTCTTCCCCACTTGCGATGGAATCAACGCGAAAGTGAACAGCGCCAGGGACGCCCAGAACACAGTTAAGTGCATTTTCCCTATGTCAAAAATAAAATAAAACAAGCGCCTCAAATAAATTTGTGCTTACCAGCCTGCCACTAAACCGATGAAAGCCCCACGCGTCACACAGAAGACTTCTTGACGGGGTTTGACTTGTACTGGAGTATTGTGACATTTTAATAAGCATACATTTTTAAAGCGACTCACCTGGAATATTGTAGAAAACGGCCTTGTAGACATGGAGGACAGACTCATCTGCCAACGATCTCGCAGCATTGTCGTATCGAGGATGGTTCTTATTGATGACGGTGAGCTCTGGCTTTTCTGTGGAGAGCGCGCTATTGACAAAGATGACTACAGGCGAAGTGAAAACATGCTTGATGATGAACGGTATGGTCGTCGACATGGTCTGCTGGGGGAAAAAATCGTGAGAATCAGTAGAGCATGCTCAATGGTTGAAAAGGCTCATGGGAGGTAGGTACCTACTATCGCATTCGACTTGCCCAAAAGGATGGCATCACGATCCACCTAAATCCGACAACAATATTGAAGAGAAGTCAGAAGTTAAAACAACCGTTACAGTCAATATGACAACCTACTGAGGGATGGGAGAGGGACGAGGGGGACGACAGGACTATGTGAGGTACACGTTGCACCCGAGGCACTGCGGCGGCACGTTGAGATGACTATTCTGCACAGCCAAATCTGATCAGCCAATCAGCGTATGGATAACGATGTTCATACATAAAAAACATGTCCCCATACATCCAATGTACCCAAAAAAACATCTAGTGCGCATATTAAGATGCTCCATGACATGCCGGTTCTAATGGTATTGATGCATTTTTAATTCAAATGGTATCTGGTCAAATAAACCAACTCTCAAACGTTGCCCACTCATTCATTTCAATTGCTTTAGACTTCTTTAGACTTCTTTACCTCTTTACCTATGGGGCGGAGAGCAAAACACCTCACTCTCACTGATTAAAACCGCTGCAACACGTCAACACACAGCAAAGTATAGTCGATCCGATAGGTCCAGAGAACTCTTGCTTTCCGTATTTCTTATCTAAGTACTAACACTGTGCGTACAGAGGTAAAAACACTCGTCGACTTTGGAATTCGCACACATATGCCAAAGCCCACAGTCGAAAGGGTTCGACAAAGTCCCTTACTCATGCTTCCAATTCACCCACTCTTGATTCCAATGTTGAGCTGTCATCCCTTCCATCCTATTTAATCAACCTCGCAAGAGCAGATCTTCCAGACACCTACCTATTTCAACAAGCATCACAAAGCGCTGACAACCTTGACGAATCAGATCTTGCGCAATGGGATATTGATCCACCATACCACACTCCTCGACCTTTGGACACCCCAGCAGAAGCTCGCTGGACAGAAAACCTTGTCCAGGTGATCCATGGTCGAGCCCCTTCAGTGACAAATCCCGTATTATACGGGTCACCCGACCTACATAATATCCCATGTAATACGGGCCAGCGGATTATGGGCCGATGTTATGTATATTCCCGATGTTGACAGGTGGGCTGGGAGGCATATTATTTCCGATGGAGACGGGTGGGCCCATCTATGCTAATGTTATATATATCATCGATGATAGCGGATGGGCTGGGAGAAATATTATTATGGAGATGGGTGGGCCCATGTGGGTAATATGTAGAGTAGGATTGACATATATTATAGACCTGAGGAGAGATGTATAGCAAATAGTATTATATAGACGTGTGGGCCGACGTATTAGTATTATTTTGTAGACGGATGGGCCGAGGGAGCGGTGAAATATTTATTAGATAGACAGGTGGGCCGATGTGGGGTAATATCAGATAGACGGGTGGGCCGAGGGTGAGGGGAATTATTTATTACATAGACGGGTTGGCTGATGTGGGGTAATATTAGATAGACGGGTGGGCTGAGGGTGAGGTGAGTTATTTATTAGATAGACGGGTGGACCGACGTGGGGTAATATCAGATAGACGGGTGGGCCGAGGGTGAGCGGAATTATTTATTACATAGACGGGTGGGCCGACATGGGGTCATATTAGATAGACGGGTGGGGCCGACGTGGGGAATTCTACATAGATGGGTGGGCCGACGTCGGGTAATATTAGATAGACGGGGTGGGCCGAGGGTGAGCGGAATTATTTATTACATAGACGGGTGGGCCGACGTGGGGTCATATTAGATAGAAGGGTGGGCCGACGTCGGGTAATATTAGATAGACGGGTGGGCCCAGATACATATCATATAGACAGATAGGCCTAGGTATTGTACATTTTACGAGTTTCGAGGCTCGAGTTTAAGAAAATTCAAATTTAAGATGATATACATTTTGTTGTCTTGAAATACCGAGACCCAGACCCGAGATTCGGCACCTCGGTAGTCGGTGAAATGAGTACAGAAATACATAAGATAATACACATTGTTCTCAGAAATCACAAGTTTCAAATGTCGATTTGTAAATCACGAGTCACAAAGTCTCGAGACTCGAATCACCGAGTACCGAGTACTGAGAACCGAGTACTGACACCCGACACCCGGAATTCGGCACTCGGCATGCGAGACAAAAGATTGGAAACAAAACTCAAAATTCGAAACTCGAAAGTACTGACTACCGAATACCAAGTACCGAGTACTGAATCTCGG